TAAAACTACTCGTATTTATGCGGATTTTTAACACAATCTACTTTCGGACGGACATAATTTAATGAGTGATTATTAAAACGATCGCTGACAGAAAGCATGACACTCAGATACTTTTAAGACTAGATATCGTTATGGCCAGACTTCTATTGAAATCTTTTCTCAGCATACAAAAATACATATGATTTACGTACTGTGTTTTATATTAATACCTATGATTCTTTTAAACTAGTATAATATGTTATATGTCCGTGTAGAATTAAAAAAAAAAACAAAAACAAGTAGCCTATGCGTTTTTTCAGACAATCTTCAATCTCTTTGCCAAATCTCATCGAAATCCGTTTAGCCCCATAGGCTACAAACTCCAACAAACATCCATCCATTCCTCCAAACTCTCAAATTTAAAATATTAGTGAGATAATAAGTTTGTGCTATAAACTCACACATAAAATTTGCCTGTAAAAATAAAGGCATTTTCTTGAAGCATCCCTTTTTTTGAAGCGGTTTAGGATTTGCAGTAAATCGGCGTTAAATCAATTTACATTAGCAATTTTTTTGAGGATCTTACTAAGCAAGACTTCAGAATAGAACTGTCACTTCAAAACATAAATAAAAGGAATAAAAACTGTGTAATTTAACCTGTGTGGGACACGTTTTAAGAGGACTGGTTCCGTGATGTTTTGTCATAGATTTGGGTCAAGGATTATAACTCGGGAGGTCCGGCTTGCATTATCCTGGTCGCCCCACGCGGAACAAGCGTCCCCAAGGTGCCCTTTGACCCTTTTTTTCACTTTCAAAACATTGTATGTAACTCGTTTTGTAAAGATATCATTACGGCCACGTAAAACTTGATGTAAGAGCAGTACGAACTAGCAACTTAGTTTATTTAAAAAAAAAATACTGGCCATCATGAATCCATATTATGTTATTTTTTATTTTCTTGATTGTTTGTTGATTTTTAGGTTATATTGATTAATTCAGAGTGATAAATGAGCGCTAAGGAATCCTTTCACTTCTCATAGATTTACACTAATAAGCTGCATAATAACTCTGCGTGGAAATTAGTGTCTAGAATTATTGACCTTGGTTTTTGAGACTTTGTATTTAACATTCTAGGAAATTAACTTCTTAATGTAGACATCCACATCTTAGATCACCATGTTTTTCAAAAAATACAAAAGTAAGTGCTAAAAAAATAAAAGAAAAAATGTATAAAGATAACATTTGACCTGATAAAATTTCACGTAGGAGCCTTAGTTAGATGGCATGTTGCACGGGCACGCATCAAGGCGCCGTGGCCTTGGTTACGTAAGCGTCGCGCCTCGAAGGTCCTCCGAGAGGCTGTCCTTGGCCCTCCCTCCACTCCCTCTACCTCCCTCCGAATCCCCCTGCCCCTACGTCGCCCCAGCCCCGCTGGGAGCGAGCCTAGACGCAGCGCTTCGGAAATGAGAATATTTCGGGAAACATTATTAGAAAATCACTGTAGGCGGTCTATTATAGATGTTATTAAATGCTTTTATAAAAAAATTACTATGTTGTATTTTTTAAAAACTAAATTCTTGTCAAAAAACACTAAAATTTTATATTTTTTTTAATTTATCGATCCGATTCGAATTACAGACAGAAATTCCAAAGTCTAATTGGCTATTTCAAATTAACGATTAATAAAGAGCGACTCTAATTATAATGGAGGGTTCTTTCCACTAACGCGACTTTTATTGTTGACACGTTGCGTAGACTAATCGTGCGGCAACTCGCTAAGTGAAAATAGGCACTTAATGATTAAAACTTTGAATCAACGCAATAAGCAATAAACTTCGATAGACTAAAATCTACATATATCTAAGTTATTTGACAGCCGTTAAAAGAAAAATACAAAATCAACTATTACTTTTTTATCATAAATTAGGCAGCGTAAGCAGAGTAAAGTTAAAGTTTAGTATTTTATTAACACCCGCGTCCAGAAACACGATGTTTATTAATAGTTCCTAAACATTAGTAATAATAAAATATAGCCTATGTTACTCACAGATAAATTACCTTTCTGATGGTGAAAGAATTTTTAAAATCGGCCTAGTTGTTTTTGCGTGAATCAAATACATACAAAAATACATTTTTTAAAATATTAGAATAGATTAGAATATTACTATCGTGTTGCGTATCATATAAATCTTAGTAACAGTAGAATAAGTTAAAATGGATTACGAGTTGACATGTAGGAAATGTTAACCCACATTACCGCGGCTAGATAACTATTAGATATGGCCGATAATGCACTGATATACAACACAATCTATCACGGAAAATAGTGCGTATTAAGTTACGAGAAAAAATAATAATTTTAATATGTCAAATTATATAACAAATTACTGACACTAATAACTATTAATAATGACTTAAAAACAACGCGATTTTAGTTTAAAATTTCATCTAAAGAACTAAAGCATTCTGTAACCTAAAATTCGCCGAAAACTTGGCCTACGTCTAACAATCTAAATGTCTACAAGTGGCAAAAAGCAATCATTGCACGCATTTTTATACATGATTTTTATATTTACAAATTCTAACCAAGCAAATGCATGTTCACTATAAAACGAAAAAATTCTTATTACTAAGCCTTAAAATTAATTGCAAGAATCGGATGTTTTAGCTAGTACAAATATTAAACATATATTTTTTTATTAAGTCACGACTTTAAGTTTTTTTGCAAACAAGCAAACATGCTTTGTCTATGCCGACCCTCTTGTATTCAACGATGACTTTGCAAGTAAATTAGTGCCTTGACATGGCTGTTATATGTTATCATTTTTTATATGTTATATTTTCTTTCATCTATTTTCATAACGTGATATTTTTACACATTTTGATAACTATTAAATTTTTAGGGAAATTATAACTCTAGCAAAGAAAAAATTGATCTTTTCTACAAATATTATGAAAATAAGATAGATTTTTGTCGTGTGATTTCGTTATTGTTTCATACTTTAAAAAAACTGATAAAAAAAGCGTGTTTTGTACAGTCAAATCTGTAATGAAATACTATATTTTAACAAATTTTAGTTGTAACCGTATATAAAAATGTTAGTACACGATACCGTAGAAGCGTGTTTTAGCTTCATGCATTCATTGATAACAGTTTTATTATTTTTTACTATGTTCGTCTAATGGCGTTATCTTTGCGGTAGGCCGGCTAGCTATAAGGTTATCTGAGTTGCAAAGACACATTCTATGTACCAACATGACAAATTTGAAAAAACGTGATTGATTCCAAATTTAAAATTAGTCTTTTGTTGAATATTTTTCCCGCCTTTACTTACAGACAAAACTTTGTAGGCTTTCATCGTTCTTAAAAATCTCTTTTCATTCAGAGACTATTTTTTTCTTTACCGAACTATGAATCGGTAGGAAAATTTTCAATTCAGTAAATTATACCTTCGGCCTTCGTACTTACGTCAAATGCTGACTATGAAACAACTTACACTATGACTTCTAAATCGAGAATAGAAAAATCGATTGGCAACGCCACGGAATATTCGGATACATAAATTTTTGATTCGAAACATCGATATTGGTACTTATGCGGTATTTACATTGATCAAATTGATTACTTAAGTGTTTATTCATAATTAATACATGTTATCTTCAGTTTTAATTTGTATTTAAGATATCCGTAATAAGTAAAATGGCGCCAGATACAAAATAATTTAAAAGGCTTTTTCAGTACCTACAATGATCAGTTAACCATTTTCAAAATTCAATATTTAGCAATTGATGAACAAAAATAATAGAAATCGATTAACAAATCGATTGACAGTTTAACATGCGAATAATCGATATCATAGTTTCTAAAATGTATCTACTTGGTGTACAACAGCAGTGTATACGAAAACGATCAGCCTTGACCTTCGCAGTAACCCTGAACATCATCGAGTACTAGCAGCCGTTGAAAAATGCTATTTAAATTATGCAGGAGGTGAAACGAACAAAATAAACTATTTGAAAAATAGCCCACTGAAAATAACTTCTGTGTGTACATCAAGACAGATTTTATTCCTCCATCTATTGGAAGCGTTGAAAATAAACTTTTCTATATTAAAAAAATCATTTTATTTACATTAAGATGTAATAATTGTAATAACCAATAGTGAATCGATTTTAGATGTGATTTATTTAAATTCCAACGGTCGACATAGATGTTAACTAGGCGTGGATTCGGTCGTGAATCGCGAACAGGCGATAAGAGGTGAGTCCGCGCTGGTAGGTGCTAATAGGTGACCGCGGGCCGGGGGCTGCGGGCAGCGGGCAGCAAGCCGCTTGACAGTTTCTATGCAAATGTTAATGCCGCTCGGCGAGACCAGTTTTCGCCTCACGGAGCGGTTCCGAGCCTACTCTTACCCGCGGTCTATTCACCACCATAATTATTACCGATCGTACGCCGCTAAACTGGATCTCGACGGGCTCGTTAATGGCATGCTTTACATCACAACGGGCCGAAATAATCCGGAGGTCGTTGAAATTCAGAAGCCTATTAAATGACTAGATACTCATTTATCGCAGAAAGTATCCGCATATCTAATTTAGCGGCGGTTTTTGAGAAAACATCACAAACCGGTTCGACGAAGAGCAAAAAAAATATGTTTAATGATGCAATAATAAATGTGCAAAAAATAGAAGATACGGTTGTCTCATTATCAAGTTCAATAGCCCCAGCGCGACAGCACGTGTATGCAAAACCTGGGAGACGCTCGCGCATGTGCAAAAATATCCTCTCGACGCGCGTCGTTAAGGCGCAATATGCTGTACCTCCCTCAACGTTTAAAATTTATCGCATGCTGCAGGGTGTCAACAGAGATTTATCAATGACTGCGTATATCAGTTCTTTTCCGATGCCTACATTGACTTACAGATGAGACGAAACTCTTCCGCCTTACCTCATTCTCGATCAAAAAAATATATAATCATAATAATTCTTGCCAGTATTAGTAAAAAACAACAATACTTTCCTCGATTCCATGAATATCCAGTAATTCCTCAGTCCGTTTGTCCGTCAATAGAGAAACATTAAAGCTCCAGCGAGCTGCACACAAATACCATAGTTCGCAACACTGGGCGTCCACTGCGTAATGCGTATCACTGTCGTAACACTAGCACTGTGGTGCGGCGATGTCCGTGCTCGTTGTGTACTGCTCACTTCCGCATAGTGCAGCGCGCCACAATCCCGCGCTCGCGCCAAGCCCGTGCACAATCCCGCGCCCGACACTCAGCCGTCAGCTCGCTCTAGCCGCCGCACGTTCTCGCTCGCTAATGCGACCGCCGAAAACTCCTCGCGCCGCCCGAATGCAGAAAATTCGGACGCGCCGAGTGGGGGACGCTCTACGACTATCCGAAACTTGTGCGCGTACGTGCAGCGCTTCGCTATGAAAAAATCCAAGGTTAACGCGCGCTGCCAAAAAAAGACGCACGCAAAATGAAAAAAGACGGCTCGAGCGGCGCCCCCCGGCCCCCGCCCGCGGGCCCCGCGTTGCAGCCGCGCCCGCCGCCCGCCGCCTGCCCTGCGCCTACTGCGTCGTAGTCGCTACCTAGCTAGCCGTATCGTGCGCCTCGACCCTCGACTCCGCGCCGACATACTGACACTACCGCCTCTAATACTAGCACATAGGCTTACTCTATTATTTAGAAACATTTTCAATTCAATATACTATTGTAATATAAAATAAAACACCTATTGCGGATATAACAAACCAAAAGTTCAGTAATCTAGAAAAAGTTAACATCCAAAGCAAACTAGAATCCTTGTCAATAAACCTTTTTACTTTTTAAATGAATACATGATTATTGTTTTAGAAAGAAATATTTAAAATACGGGTATCTTATCCATTTTGTCAATATTTACAAAAATAAATCTTACACTGTGTACTTCAAAAATATTTCCAAGTCGATGCCATTTAAAGTTGTTACTTAAATAATAGTTTTAATTTGTACATACATGAAATTCTCAACTTTGCGTAACAAAATTATTAAAAATATACCAGTAAAACTATACTAATAACCTTCAGAATACTAGGTATGAATCCAAAAATAAGAACATATAAAATATGACTTTACGCAATCTATTGTATGAATAAAACTTGGCAACTATATCTAGTATCTATAGAAAAATGAAATATAATAAACCGATAATATTATTCACTTCAGAAAATGAAAGCAGCCATAAACGTGCAACGTAAAGAAAAAAACATTCACACGATACTAAAGTACGTGTGGACGAAAAACGTTTGAGAAAATGTAAACACCCTGTACTACCTACGCTTTCTACGAAACACGACTATAGAAAAGTTAACGGGCTTATAAACCATTACAGTTTTCGTATTTCAAATAACAAGCTATTTAAATATAACTGAAGTTCAAGACCAAACATTGAGAAAAGAATGTTGACTACTGTTGTAAACGTTGGTTTTCATTGCGGAAACAACCGTTACTACTATGTCGAAGAGATCAACATGAATATCCGCCTACCTAATTCCGATCCCTCCTATCGCTAAATCTAAAATAGGAACCCAAAGAGGATTTTTTACTGTCTGTTTGTTCTGGTAAATTCATAGAGAAATTTAACTAATTTTAAACGTGATTTTCCGAAGATACAAAACGATTTCTTACTGAAATATTTAGTGTATAAATAGTAAAACCTTACCTTTTACTAATATTGTAATTGCGAAAGTTTAGACGGATGGATGTTTGTTAGTTGTAGCCTAGACTACTAAACGAATTTCGATGAATTCGGATAGATGTAGAGTATAATATGGAAGAATACATAAGCTACATACTTTTGTTTTTAATTCCACGGGGACGGAATCTGAGGCATAGTAAACAAGTAAAACTTAGACAAATATTGGAAGGAACTTGCAATTATGACTAGCTTCAGTGATCATCGACAGAAATAAATGATAATTCATAATACAGATTCTTATATCAATAAGTCATTGAATCGTGACAATTGCAATAAAATAATTGAGAACGACAGTGTTCAACCATTGGTGCATTACAATTGGGCGGCCATAACTGTTGACCTTGTGCCGCCAAACATTAGTTCCTTACCGTAGAATACCACTGTCGTAACAACTCTATTCAAACATATTGGTATCTCTGTTTTTTTAACCCGAATATGAAGGAAGCCACAATGCCTTACACAAGTTTGTCGACAGTGGAAATCTGCCCTTAAACAAACACTGGCCACATTAAATGTGCAGCGCTTAAAAAGAACAATAACAAAATTTAATACAGACTCTGTTTCCTTATCAACTTTGGCAAGGCCACGTGAACTATGATAACGTGTCACAATTAGAATACAGGATGTTAGAAAAATACTAACATACACAGTTATGTTATGACGTCATAGGTCACAAATCATAAATATTTTGAGATGTTTTAACGAAATTTTTCATGTTCGGATTTATACAAATGTAATAAAATCGTGCAACAGTTGACATTTTACTAGTGTATGAGCTTCAAAATGTCTTCAAACAATTGTAATCAATAAAAATTGTAAACAATAAAACGTAGCTAAAACAATTACTAAATAACAATATTTATAACATCAAATCGTTCTCAGATTGAATCTTTAAGTGTTATTACCTATCAAAACGATCTCACATAATAAAGCTTAGAATTTCACTTGTTCGTTCCATTTTATTATTCGAACTATAACTAGTATACATAAACTGGTCCTTGCAAGGTCACATTAACTCATTTACATATTCTATCTGTGTAGAAGCGAATTGTGTTATCTGTATATTCTATTTATTTCCAAACGTTTTTACATCAATATTAAAACTACTTCATAAGATAAGCATTAGTGAAAAATAAAGTATCAGCCTGTATATCGAAGCATACCAAATTCTTGTCTAAATATCTAATCGTTTTTATCAAACGACTACATTACTCCACTGCATCATGAAGGCATATCAATGTAGGATTTTACACATTATAACAAAATATGTAAATTATTTTCACTACAAATTATTTTTAATTCATAATTTACGATATCTTAGGCAGATTTTATCACGTAGGAGACAAAAGACCATCTAGTTAATCCTGCGACTTATTGTTTTGAAAAAATAAGGGACGTAAACTTTGACATCCATTAAGTAGACAGGCAAAAAAACGCGATATTTATGGCGATTTAATTTTTGACATTTTGGCGCTGTTAGTTACTGTTGGTAGCGGAGGTAAAGATTCGAACGAATAATAAAGATAGATTAAAATATCACCGATATTAACAGAGGAGTTTTAATCGGAACGAATAAAAACCGCCTATCCATTTATAGAGATCAGTGGAAGGTAGAGTAAATATGGTCCAAACAAAGGACGGAACTATTGACTCTTTGTTTAAATTGACTAGCTGTCTCCCGGGACTTCTCGCCATGGTATGAAAACACCTACCTATCAATAGATACAAGAAATGTCTTGTTCTAAATATTATCTAGATTTGTCCTATCGTTGTGGATTTAGGTGATATCAAACATCCATCCAGACTCTCGTATTTATAATATAGTTAAAATTAACAATATAAACACGATACTTTATTTAGATATGTTTATTTTGTATAAAAGAACTTTAATCGCGTAATAATTACCAATAATACGCTCTTAGTTATTTTTGGTTGAAAATTCTAACTTTATCGCAATTGATTGCTTATTAAAAGGTTCTGTAAACGGAGAAAAGTTTGAAAAGTTTCTGTAAGCTTAACCTTGTTTGAGAAAATGAAGAAATGTTAAAGGTTTAACAATTACAAAAGAGTTGCTATATATGGAACTAGCTATTCCCATGCGGCTTTCCGCATGTAATTATGTAAACTTTATTTTATTGTTTACATTTGTCAAATTCGCAATTTTAGCATCTAGTAGTTTATAGCCCATTGACCAAAAGAAGGTTTTTTCAATTTATTTACCCTCTTAGTTTTATAGCGTGAAAATGTGTAGCCTAATGCGTTTCTTAAGTGTAGGGCTTTTTATTAAAGAAAGAATTATTCAAAAATATGATGTAATTGCTGACATCCTACGCCACAAAGTAGTGTGTGTTTACGCTTTATTATAATAGTATAGATATAGTTTAGTATAGTATAGATGTGTACCGCCCTCTAATTGTTTTTAATATTTTTAATAAAGTTATTTCGTATTTAGTTAGCGTTACTACCTACAGTTTTAACAAAATAAATCAGTCTTAATTCAGCTGCCGTGTTGTTAACACGGCACAAACGATAACAATCAAAGAAACAATAATGAAATACAAACACAAGATTAAATGTATAGATGACGTCTTTAAAATACCCATGGAAATCATGAATTATGTATAAACATATAAAAATTTTACAAACTAATGTTACCTATTACAAAAACAAAAAAAAAACATAGCCCTGAACAGTAATAGCGACGATAAAAATCTCAGGCTTAGACAATAGTAAAAAAAGACAATTAATTAATGAAAAAAGTGTTAAAAGGAACTGAATAATAATTAATACTGTTTTTTGTTTAATATTTTAAATTATGGCTGATTTTGTTTTAAAAAACGTAAATAAATGTAAATGTCTCCAGTTTTAAGAAACAATGAAATAACAAAACACAACGACAATTACTAGCGATAAAAAAAATCGAATTTAAAAATCGAATCTTTATTCCAAATTTAAAATAGCGATCGAATAGCGGCGTTGGTTTTCGGCGGGCGAGGATCGCATCTGGTCAAACATTTGCGCATGCGTACCGATACGCTCAATGCCAAACTCCTGCATCTGACTTGATAAATAGCCACACTTGACGACAATGGACCGAGGATATTCAATTTTAACATATCACCCATCTATTATATCTAAAGACGGCGGAAGCGGAAGAGAAAAACCAAAAAAAAGTCTTACAATGAGAATTCTAATAAGTATTCCTTGTTAAATGTTTTTTTTACTAGATCGGTTTAATTATTTTTATTAAAAATCATAAGAAATAATTTATGAGCACGTATTTAAATGGAAGCACGTTTATTGTTTCAATATTTGCGTTAAATAATTTAATTATTATATTTACATTTTATTTCGAAGTTATTAAATTTTAATTCTATGTAAAAAGATATTAAAATAATTGCTTATTTGCACATCACAAAAGCACGCACTAAAATTTTGTAAAATCAGGTATTAATTACTATTAAAATGAATAGTTAAAAACAATTGCCAAGTAAAACTAATTAAATCAAAAGCAGTAAAACGGGTCAACAAAAAACAATTTATCACAACAATTAATACCATTAAAATATTTTAATAAGCCAAAACAACAAACACGGAAGCACTTTTAACGTACTAATTACCAAAGGACGTCACACAGACACAGTTAGCAAGGCCTCGTATGGAGGTGCTGCATACATCGATATGTACTTACGTTGAATCAATCAAGCCGGTCCATCGGCGCAGGGCTGGTTCCCGGGGTCGGTT